GACTCTGTCGAGGTTCCGGATCCTGCCGGGCCCCAAACCAGTGCGGCGTCTCTATCAGCTGGTGCTGAGAGCAGAGGGAGACCTGCTGTTAAACATCGAGACACTCGAGGAATCCCACAAAGAGTGACCAGCACAGAAACATCTCACCGTTTAATGCTTCCTGCGATTTCTATTTCAGTCATTTAATATAATTTCCAAACTTTGAATGTGAAGTGTGTAATGCTGCACTGGGGAGTTGTTGCAAACCAAATGAACTGTTTTGTAAGTTTTCAAAGCGTTATACTGCTGTAACTGCACATACTTCTCATGCTTTGATACAACAGAAAATTGATTTTGCTTATATATTAATATATTTGTCATATATTCTGATAAATATTGTAGTCTATTTACGTACCAACTCTTGTTTGTGTTGTTTTTTCTTGAACAAAATTCAAATAAATATTTGGCACAGCATTGTTTCAAAGTGTAAATGAGCAGCATTATGTACTAAAATATAAACGTGCATGGATATTATTGATGTGTGGATACTATGGAAGCCCGATTCCGCCACCGAATAAAAAATAAAAAGGTAATTGCAACTTTTTTATCTCACAATTCTGACGTTTTTCTCAGAACTGTGTGATATAAACTTGCAGATTCTGAGAACTGAACCAACAATGTGATGTCTGCACACAGAGAAAATGCAAAGCTGTGAAATCTTGCTTGGTGTGTGTGGTGTCCTTCTGCGAGCTCCACCTGAAGCCTTCAGCATATGAGGGCCATAAATTAGTCACGGCATCCTGTAAGATCAAGGAGATGATTTGTTCTACTCATGAGAAGCCGCTGGAGGTTTACTGCAAGACAGAGAAGCAGTTTGTGTGTTTACTTTGTGTTCTGAGGGATATTCAGAACATGGCATATTCTACATGAATAGCGTTTTATACAATACAGATTGTTTCAAAGCAGCTTCACGGTAGGGTACAAGGGGGCTAAAGGCGCCTTTGATATTATTCTCATCTAAACCACTAGACGGCACAAAAACGTGGCGAAGCACTTTCCAAAACATCCGCTTTTCAAGATGCACCTGTATATTTGTCTGATCCTTGACGCGATCGTGCGTGCTTACTTGATCTAATATTTTATGTTTTTAAAAATGTTGTAGATTTAAGTAGCAAATGAGAATCGCTAAAATTAATGCCTATATTTTGAGACAAAGGTCTTCTTTATGATTTTCAGTTTTGTTTAAGATAAGTAAAGCAACAGTTTTTAAATAACGAAAGAATATGTAAAAGTATGGTATTTGGGGTAAAAGCGCCCCTGCTGTTGGGGCTAAAGGCGCAGAGTAATTAACATGATAATTAATAGATGGCTGACTTTTCCATTTGTTGACATGGTTAGATTCAGATGGTAAATATCATATATTATGTTGGGTGTCCATATTAGAGATAATCACCATGTTTAGAATAAAACCATCATATTTAAAACATGATATTAATCATATCATATAATAAAATATCATTTGTTGTTACTACTGCAAATATATATTCAATTATTATTGGATCTCCTTCCATGCTTTCAGAATCTTTACTTATTAAAATGATTTTGTTTATGTATTTTAAGATATATTTTTATATTAACATATTTTAATGACTAGCTAATAAACAGGAACATAAGAGAATCGGTGATGCAGACTTCATCAAATATCCAAATTCGTAGCTCTAAAAAGAAACATTATTCAGTTCAATGTTGATTTTTATTCGTGGAATTCATATCAATTACTCTGTGTCTAAATTCCATCCACACAAGGGACATCGATTGTAGATTTGTTGTTGTTCCGCAATACTAATCAAAAAAGAAAATTCTGTCATCATTTAGTCATCCTCAACCTGTAAAGACCTGTTCACATCAAACAACAATAACTAAACGTTTTAAAAATCACTCTAACCCTAAAAGAACAGGAAAGTCCACACAACAAATGTAACGATAACCAATCAGAATCCACCTGCCTTTAATAAAGAGCTTGAGTATTTAAACTAAGGCTGACAGGTGATTACAAATTTAATCTAATTAATCACATGATGTGCCGATTAATTAATCTAACTAATTGCAAATTAGTTGCACATCAATTTTGGCTGAGAAATAACCCCCCAAATGATCATTTAAAATCATTGCATAAATAATGATAAGAAATGGGTGTTTTTTTATTCATGTTTTTCTGGGGGGGGGAATTATAGAAAGTAATACTTTTATATAGCAAGGATGCTTTAAATTGATCAAAAGTACTGATAAAGACATTTATATTGTATTTCTATTTCAGATAAATGCTGTTCTTCTGAACTTTCTATTCATCAAAGAAACCTGAAAAAATTCTACTCTGTTGTTTTCAACATAATACAAATAAAAAATGTTTTTTTTTGTTTTGTTTTGTTTTTTACAGCAGCAAATAAGCACATTAGAATGATTTCTGAAGATCATGTGACACTGAAGACTGGAGTAATGATGCTGAAAATACAGCTGCGCATCACAGAAATAAATAATATTTTAAAATATATTCAAATAGAAAGCAGTTATTTTAAATAGTAAAAATATTTCACAATATTAGTGCTTTTGCTGTATTTCAGATCAGATAAATGCAGGCTTGGTGAGCAGAAGAGAATTCTTTAAAAAACATTCAAAATCTTACTGTTCAAAACCTTTTGACGTCTAGTGTATATAATTTTAATCTCATGTAGCATTTATATATTGTGTGAAAATATGTATGTATTATGTGCTATATTCTGAATATTGCATACTCAGACATACAATCCCCCCCGCCCCAAAAATGTACACTTTACAATAAGGACCCATAGATAACATTATTCAAAGCATTACGTAACTAACATTAGCTAACAATGAGCAATATATTTGTAAGTGTATTTATTCATCTTTGTTAACGTTATTAATAAAAATACAACTGTTGATTGTTAGTTCATGTTAGCTCAGGTCCGTTACATAATATGAACACACAACATTTGATTTTAATAATGTATAAGTAAAAGTTGAAATTAACTAAGATAAATAAATGCATTAGAAGCATTTTTTCATTGTTAGCTCATAATGTTAACTAAATGGAACCTTATTGTAAACACACTTGTTTCAACCCAACTTTGAGTCAAATATGGACTAACCCAACTTTTGGGTTAAAAATGTAATTTAAAAATGGGTTAGTCCATTTTTGACCCAAAGTTGGGTTGAAACAACCTAGCATTTTTTTTTAGAGTGAAGTGTTGAATCAATATCATCTCTCATTTTTATAGCACAAGAAGGATTTATTAAAATTGTTTTATGGGTATTTTATGTGAATATAGATAATGACAAGCACAGAAAACAGAAATAAGTACATAAACAGCTCAATCAGAAATTATCTTTGTATCATTTGTCTTATTTTGTTTCTCATGACGCCTGTATACTACATAACCTGTACTGTCTATATACATGCGTTCGACTGAGAAGTGCTTCCTAAGCACTGTTCCCTTAAAAGAGAGCTTCCGAAGGGTGCAGTACTGTCCAGTTCTGCTGTTGCTTAGTAACCAGTGTAAACACACACAGGCAGTCATGGCTTCACGGGATCTGGACGCAGAGTTTGTCCGATCGGAGTCTCTGTTCCAGCGGCTGATGGAGAAGCACAGGACTGGCAGAAAGGTTTGTCACGCTCTTACATTCACTGAAGGAGGAGCGGCTCAGAGTTCTCCTCATCAAAGGTTGCTCTGGGTTACACCGCATTCAGAGCAGCGGTACACACTAACACACACTAACACACACTTCAGCTCTGTGTCTTCAAATCCAGTCCCACGGCTGATTTTGATCAAAACTCACCGATTTAGCAAGAGCTTTATGTATTGGAAACTATTTTTCTTTGCTACTATTTAAATGTTTTTAAATATAGATTTTATTCTTTCACCCTTGTGTCAGATCAGTGTTGCTACTGTTAACAACAAAAAAAAAAAAATCATGCATCTGAAAAAAAAATAATTTTTGGTAATAGAAATACAGCTGAAATAAAACAAAACATAAATTTGATTTTTTTTTTTTTTATTAAATTAAAGTGCTAAAATTACTAAAATTAAAATAAAACAAAATTAAATCTACATAGAAAAAATTAAATAAAACAAAAGATAAATATCAGACAAAAAACTTACATTTGAAAATAAAAAAAAAATAAAAAATGCTGCCTTGGCAAACAAAATAAAAATTACATTGAAGTGCTAAAACTACTAAAACTAAAATAAAATTAAAACTATATAGAAAAAACTGAAGTAAAACAAAATATAATTGATGAAGTTATAATTATATATTATATATATTTGAAAAAACGTACACAAACGTAAACAATAATTAGAAATGTTGTCAAATTAAAGCTATATAGAAATATACACAAAAAAGACAAAAGCACGTAACAAAATGACTAAAACAAACTTAAAATCTAAAAATAAAAGCAAAATGATTAAATTCTATAATGTTATACAAAGAAAACTAAAGCAGCACTTTTCCCGACTTTCAATCTTAAAATTATTAAACTGAATCTTAAAACAATTATTACTCACAATTTACTAAGCAAAGACTGAAATAAAAGAAAAAAATATCAGAATATTTTAATGCTGCATCATTTCCAATCAAGCTGTAATTTAGTCAAATTATGCATAAAGCATGAAAATAATACTTACATAAATGCTAGCTATCGAATGAGTCTTAGTAAGACAAAGGAGTTGGCTATTTTATAAAAAAAAATTAAAAAGTGTTTTTTAAGTGACATTTTCATGATGTTCAGGGGGGAAAAAATAATTAATGTAATTTGCAGCGCTTTAAAGGCACAACATGTAATTTTCGCCGCTAGAGGGCGCGTATTCAAAACAAACAAAGAGACAAAGGCGTAGTTTGATGACGGCGTGACT